CTTCTCAGTCTGATCCCGTCGGCAGGAGAAACCCAGCCGTGCCTTAAAATTCGCATCCTTCCCCCTAGGAACGCTGCGTGAAGTGTAACCCAACGGCTTGACATCAATCAGATTATAGATAAATCATAAATGTGGGGAGGGGGGGGGGATGGGGAGAACCGTGGAATAAGCGTGTCAAGGAGACACACGCTGGAAGATTACGGATTAATTTAAAGTTGGGCATTAAGTGGATGCTGCCCACATCCAGCGAGGTGATACTCTAAGCGAATCTCTGCTCTAGATGCAATTAAAGAGAGGCAGGAGCTGCGTGGAGCACGGGCACTTAAATCCCACTGCGTTTGTTACAACAATCGATCCGTGTTACATAAAGGAATTGCCCATTTCCGGATCTGCGGGAATTTTTAATTATGTTTCTGTAATAAATTACCTCTTTGCCCACGACCCGACCTGCGGATGCGGGTGCTGGAAGCGCCCACCTCTTGGAAAATTGTCTGCTCGGAGGATGTAAAATGACATTTGCCCTAATTATCGTCTCTGACATTTGAGAACAGCGAGGGGGAAATTTTAGGAAATGAGGAAAGTGAAAGAAAGGGGACAGAGCTGCCTCCTTGCATGAGACCTCTCTCGCTGCCCATTACCCCGTTAGCTGAATGTTAATCCAATGAAAAATATTTACTGAGCTTTAATAGGGCACCCTCTCCAGTTGTGCCGTGATGATCAATTATTCCATCAATTATTAATTATGGAATAGCTGCTTTATTCGAGCTGGGGTGAAGCTGCTTTTGGGAGCTTTCCCCAAAATCGCTATTGTGCTTCAGATCTGCTGAGCTGAACGTGCCAGCGTCTGCTTTGCTTACATTTGCATTTTTTACCGTGCTAAAAGGAAAAAAGCAAACCTGGAAACAAATAACCGTCGAGGATGCCATGATTCCTTTCGACCCCCAGTAGTCAAAATAATAAAGAGCTGCACTGGTTTATTGCTTTTTGCATCTTTTCAGCCCCAGCTTCTTGGAAAAGGGATCCCTTCCCACAGAGCTATCTCTTTGGAGAGGAGCAAATTAAAAGCCTCCATTAGCACAACTCCTCGTGGCCTCATTTTACATTTTATTTCTTAAAAAAAAAAAATTAAAAAAGGAGAAATCTTCAGCATTGAGCAGTCCTGGTGATGCAAAGTGTTAACGCGAAGCGGTTCCAGAGAGAGGACAGCAATACAATGGAAGTTTCATTAGAATAATAGGATAAAAAAAATGAATTGCTTAATGCATGATAAACCTTTCAGATACTTAATATTTCTGGGCATCGAAGCGCATCCTTTTAACGTGCTCCTGCTGTAGAACAAGAGCTCAAGTAGAAACCGAAAGCAGATAAACATTTGATCCGAGGGACCCCTGAAGTTTAGAAATCCCTTGATGGGCTGTAGCTGCTTATTTCTGTCCCTGTTTATGAAATAAACAGAAATGGGTGTTTGGCGAGCAGAGAGTTGAGCAGCGAGATGCTCTGGCAGGCAGAGGGGAGGCGAGTGGTGTGATGGGGAACGGACTGGCCACAACTGCGAGGCTGGGAGCCAGGGAAGCGTCTCCCTGCGTGATGTTGCTGGATGGCTCTGCCGCCTGATTTATATTGGCATTATATTTACATGATGTTCCCGCGCTGGGCGCAGCGAACGGTGCAGCTCGCGGCTTCTAATCTCTCCCATCTCGGCCCCCCAGTGTGGCACAGCGCTCGTTTGTCTCTGAAATGAAACATGGAAACCTCATTAAATGCACGGAGGAGAAGCCTGCAGTGCTCAGCTCCTCGCCGTGCCCGGCGCTTGTTTATCCTGCCAAAATTTCCCAGCACCAGGAGCCGCCGTGGCAGCTCGCCCAGAGCCGTCACCTGGCGTGGGCTTTGGGCAGCTCCTGCCCTGGCATGGGCAGCGGGTAAAGGCACCCTGGCGCTCCTGGGTGTTTGTGCTCTGCAGGAGGAGGCTGTGCCTTGTGCGAGGGGCGAGTGCCAGGGGTGTGATGTGGAGCAGCCCTTGTGGGGCTGGGGGCTGCCTGGGAGCTTGGGGCACGCCTCGGGGCAGCCGTGGCTCCAGGATCTCAGTGTTGGGGTGCCAGGATCTGTGCCCTGTGTGCCAGGGGATGGATGGGCAGCCCTCCGTCCTTGTCTGGAGCAGCTGGCGAGCCGAGGGCGAGGATGGAGCTGGGAGTCTTTGTGGCTTTGTGGAATCCTGACATGGCAGCAGGCGAGGCAGAGCCGCGCCTCGGGTGGCACGGAGGCACCTCAGAGCCGAGCAGGCAGCAGCCACACGGTGCCACTTCCATGGTGGCACCAAGGAGGAAGGCGCTGGGTCACCGCAGCCGCTGCCACGCTGCCGTTTGGGGAGGATGTGCAGGGGCAGCGCGGGGTGCAGGGCGTTCCTTGCCTCTGGAATCTCGGCCATAGCCAGCTCTTGGTCTTTACATAACCACGGTTTGGGAGTCACCCTCTCCCTGCTCGTGCATCCCACAGAAATATCCCCCAGCAGGCGCAGGCTGCCGCCATCATCCGCCAGCAGAGCCCTACCCAACGCTCAGGAATTCCATTTCCAGCTCCTGCTGCTCCCAGCTGCTCCGGGAAGGGCTGCAGCAGCGGCTCCTGGCCCTGAGAGGGGACCCAGCACGGCTTGGAGGGCACGGGGAGGAGGTGAGGGGCTGGCAGGGCTTGCCCAGATGTGTTCTGTGTTGGCTGCCTGGTGGCAATCCTGCTCTCCACCTTGCAAAGCCACTGAGTGGGTTGTGCCTGTGGGAGCACGGCCTGGCCATGTGCAGGGAGCCAAGGCCAGGTGTGTGTGGCCTCTGCTCTGTCCCTTGCCCACCCCTTGTGCTCGCTCCTTTGACCTCCCTGGGGACACGGGGCTGTCCCTCTGGCTGGGCAATGTCACCAGATGTCCCCTTGGCACCTCAGGCGTTGGGTCAGCATGGCCAAGGTGTGGAGATGGCTCTGGAATGGGAGGGCTCGTTCCTCACCTGTGTCCCCTGGGCTCATTCCTCACCCCCAGGCTGGGGGCTCAGGCTGTGGGGGGTGCCCAGCTCTGGGCCAGTCCTGTGTGTACGGTGTGGTGGGGCTGGTGCCCCTCAGGAGCAGCCAGGGGAGGTTCTGGAAGCAGGAATCCGGCCGGGAGAGCTTTCTTTCCCAGGCAAGGGTTACAGCCTCAGCCTGGGTGCTGGCGTAATCGCTGGAGGTGGTTCAGGCCCTAATTTCCATGCAGATGCATTAAGGAGCAGGCGCTTGGAGCACGTTTGAGCCGTGCCCTTACCCACAGAGGACCAGAGGCAGGCTCTCCTTTGCTCCCTCTCGCCTTTGTCACCTCGGGAAGGACCATGGTGCTCGAGCCAGAGGGGCTGTGCCACCACGGTGGGACCCTGTGGAGCCAAATTGAAGTGCCAGGGCAGGGAAGATGCTGTCGCAGGTACCTGCTCTGTGCTGGGCACCACTGAACGCCCCAGGCCCTGCTTGGCATTTCCTGACACCATTTCCACCCATCTGAGACCAGTCCCTGAGTGCAGGAGTCACAGCTTTAACCCTCTAGGCTGGAACACAGTGAGGAGGTGACATCTCAGGAGGGTGTGCTGCTCTCCCAGACACCTCTGAGCTCTCTTTAGAAGGGACCAGCCTTGGTGCTTCCTCTCCTCATCCTTCCAGGAGCTTGGCAGTGCCACTTCCCGCTCCATCAGCCCCAAGGTCACTCCCTTGGTTGGCACAAAGGCTGTGAAGGTGTCCTGGGGATGAGGGCTTGGAGGGAGCTGGTTTGGGGAAGCTCCTCCAGCGTTCTCTGCGTGCAGGGAGGGTGTGATGGAATCTCTGCCCTCTCCTCAGCATGGAGGGACCACCAGGACCCGCCACCCACCCGCAATTCCCAGCGCGGTGCGTGCCAGGCTTGGGTTTGCCCTCTCCTTGAGCAGGGCAGGTGTCAACCACCCTTAATGAGGATAATGAATGAGCTGCGAGGTGGCCATTAGCTTGCTGCTCTCCTCAGCATCCCTGCAGCCCGGCTTGGTCCCTTTGGTCCCTGCTGGCCCCTTTGGAGCCCCACGGGTGGGGTTTATCCGGGGGGAGCCCCGGCAGGTCCTCACCAGGCTCAGAGAGGGCTGGGATCACCATGGGGATCAGAAAACTGCTGCCAGTGGAGTAATGAGAGCTCCAGCTCAGTGCCTGCCCAGGGGATGGCACAAACCCCCCAAAACCATCAATTCTCCAGCATTTCCCGGCTCTGTCAGGTTTGCACCCAGCTACAGCACCGTGCTCAGCACAAACCCCCCAAAACAGAAATTCTCCAGCATTTCCCTGCTCTGTCAGGTTTGCACCCAGCTACAGCACCGTGCTCAGCACAAACCCCCAAAACAGAAATTCTCCAGCATTTCCCGGCTCTGTCAGGTTTGCACCCAGCTACAGCACCGTGCTCAGCACAAACCCCCAAAACAGAAATTCTCCAGCATTTCCCGGCTCTGTCAGGTTTGCACCCAGCTACAGCACCGTGCTCAGCTCTGAGGGGTTTGGGTGGGCTCAGGCTGGCTGGGTGCTGCCAGCACAGGTGATGGACGTGCACAGAGAGCAGGAAAAGCCTCTTATCTCGGGAGGAAGAGCCCTGGCTGGCACAGAGCCCGTCCTTGTCTGAAGCTGCTCCTAAATCTGCTTCTTAGACAAGGACGGGCTCTTCTGGGAGGTTTTGTGCAGGACGCAAAACCTCACCCTAACCTTAACCTTAACCTTTCTGGGCAGGACACACACCTGCACCTCTCCCAGAGATGGTGACACATCCTGGGGACAGTTTGAGGCCCCTCTCTGGAGCAAGCAGGTGCTTGCAGAGTTTGCTGTGTCACTGAAGGTGCTGGAGCTCGGGAAGTCCAGCCATCAAAACTGGTAAATATTCTGAAGGGATGATAGCAAAATGACTTGCTTCTCCCAGCTCGAATGGAGATATTAATATTTCAATAGCTCTGGGTTGTAATTTACCACAATTTAGGAAGATTGAACTCTGATAACTTAAAGCACCTGCCTTTCAGCGTGTCCAGCCCTGTGCTGGGCTCGGTGCAGCTCCCAGCTGGAGCCAGGCTGGGCTCCAGGCTGCCTTCCCAGCAGAATCTGTTCCAGCTCAGCTCTCCCAGCCTCCTCCCTTCAGGTTCATGTGAATTAATGCCCTCGATATGTAGGTTAGGGTCAGCACATCTGACCAGATGTGAGCAGTGATTTCTGGTTTAAAAATATTGCTGTGCTATTTCTAAATTTTTAATCTCTCCCAGTGATTTGGAGACAGTTTTATGAAACATGGAATTAGGATGGTGCTCAATGCTAAATGGTAAAGGAGATTATGAGGATTTAACTCTATACGTCTGTCACATAACTATTGCCAATCCCATAACCTCCATTTTCTATTAAAAATCCCTTTCCCCCTTTGACCTGAAAAAGCTTTATGGGTAATCTGAATTTCTCTGTTTATGAGGTATTTTTCCACTCCTCGCCCCAGCCCCTCACCCCTCCAGCTCTGAGCCCTCCTAGTGCTGCTGAGGATGAAGATGTTTTCCTGGCAGGAAACATCTTCTGGGTGCTCCAGGAGCCTTCCCAATCTGCAATATGGGATTTGGGGAGATCCTGGATGGAGCACAGGGCACAGCTGGCTGTCCTTGGTCCAAAGCCAGGCTGAAGGTGGCTTCTGCTGTGCCCTGGCTCCAGCCATCTTCTGCTCAGTTCAGGCTCAGCCACAAATAGCTCAGTGCTGCTCGTGCAGCCTTTGTTTCCCTTCCTCTGCCTGCAAATGTGCGCCTCTTTCCCTTTCATGTATTTGGGAGAAGCACCGCGCTGCTGGCATGAAGGGAAATGCTGATTCATGACGACAAACCAGCCTGGAGATGTCACAAAATGACATCTGCAGGGCCCAGCGGTGGCCCCGTGGCTCTGCAAAGGCTCGGCTGGAGCTCTGCTCCTCTGTCCGTCCGTTTTGGTGCTCGCCAGCCAGCGAGGGAAAAACAAACGGCTTTGTCTCCTTCCACCCGCATGTGGACACGGGGAACCCGCGCGTGGGGACACAAGGAGATGATTCTGTGACCTCCAAATGGGTTGTTGTGCGGTGGCACAGCTGGAACTCGCTACCAGCTCATCCCTTCTGTGGCACAGAGGGCTCTGAGCGGGCACAGGAGGAGCCCTGGTTGTTTATGGTGATGATGCTGTGCAGTGCGCACGGAGAGCCGAGCGGGATGCTGAAAGAGGTGCAAGGTTGTACACCCAGCTGGGAGAAGAATGGAGAAGGGCTGGGGCGTCTCGGGGTGCCCCATCCTGAGCTGCTGAGGCTGCTGTGGGTTGGGCTGGTGGCACAGCTCCCAGGCAGGATGGGCACCTGGCTGGAGAAGGCTGGCACAGGGATGGAGTGAGCACGGACACTCAGCCAGCCCTTCAGTGTGGACACTCAGCCAGCCCCTCCTCGGGCGAGCGGAGCCCGGGTGTGTGGATGAGGCTTCTCCTTCTCCCCTGTGCCGCTCCCCTCCTCCCCAAGTTAAGGAATCGAGGTCAGGGAGGGTCCCCCGTGGCTCGTTCTGAACCGGGGCTGATCTGCTTATTGGCTCTGCGGCACCGCTCAGCCGCGCTATTAATACACCCGCCGAGGGCCCTTCCCAGATCCCTGTCCTTCCGCCCACTTGGAAAGAGTGCAGCTAAAAAAGGAAAGCGGATCTCAGTGACTGGGAGCCTCCTCTTCCTTATTTATAGCCAATTTCGCTGCCTTGGGCTGGGAGGGGGAGCTCGTGGTCCTGGAGAGTGGCAGGAGTTGGGGGCAGAGGTCCTTTCCCTACTCCCAAGAAGGGAAGTGCTGTTCTCCAGCACTGAGAGCTGCTGCTGGGCATGCAGGTGGCCACGAGCTCTGCCTGGACTGTGCCCCTGAACCCACCTCAGTGCTTGTTTGGGTGCTGTAGGGGTGCCCAGGAGAAGCTCAGGCTCAGGACAGGGTGGGTCTGGGCTCCCCTGCCTGTGGCTCTGGGAGAGGGGAGCAGCTCTGATCCCCATTTTCCAGCCCTCTCTGGTTTGGGGGCAGTGGTGGGGTGGCAGGGGAGGTCTCTGCCCTGCCTGGCAGTGGTGTGCCCTGGGTGTGATGGCATTGCTGTGCTGTGCTGGGGGGTCACAGCAATGTCGGGGCTGGCAGCAGGAGCAGTGTTGGTGGCTGTGCTTGGCGTGCTGTCCCCGGGGCCCTGGGTGCTCAGAGCCAGCTGGGC